TTTGTTCATATTCAAGGACTTTCCAGGATTTTCAAGGGCGTGGGGACCCTGATATTAACCATGACTGAAACATAGCTTTATTTTTTAGGCCTGTAATGAAAGAAAAGACATTGAATAGAATGAAAAATCTATAGATGCTGTTTAGAATTTTATATTAGCTTGATATTTATTAGTCATATTCCAAAAAGGAGTGGCAGACACAGGGCCATACCGAGCTGGATGGGTGTGGGTATGGCACCCCCACTTTCTGAAAAACTCTTTGTTAATTAAACAGAGATTATGTTGAAAATGTGACTTGTCCATATATTGATTGAAACTGGTCAGTAAATAGATAAAAATGTTGAGTTAGTCTGTAATGTGAAAAGGCTGTACAGGAACATCCCCCACCCAGAGTGGTCTTGGTATGTCACTGACATTTGGGAGGGTAAACTGGGGTGACTCCTTGTCAGTCTAATCAGTGAATCCTTCACAATAAACATTAAGATCTAGATTTACGCCTGTATTCTACAAGCTCACTGAGTGCATGTGAAACGGAAATCGCATTTCTGCTGATCAATGATAGAATCCTTTCTCAATCAATAGCAAGACTTTTAGTAAAATAATCAAAAACAAACTCTCAAACGAGTGCAAATTTATAAGTCTTGTAATGGTGATAAGGTGATTGTGATCTCCCACTCAGTGAGTATCAGTGCGCTTTTAGAATACAGGCCTTAGATTTCTATAGCAAAAATTTACTTGAATAATTCGGCCACACTAATAGCCAAGCAATCAAGTTTATTAAATGTAAATATTGTACATAAACTGCCACTGCATATTTATTACTGTAAGTAATAATTATATTGATACCTATACTAAGTGTAAGGCCACTACAAGTTAATCTTTAGTTTCTGGTCCGGCCTTACCTTCGTTTACGACGCGGGCGGGCGAATGGTTAGGACTATAAGACATAATTACAATTGTGGCTTTGCCCACATTGTTGTGGTCTTTCTTGTCCCTTTTCATGCTAATTGTTTCAAAATGTTATGAAATTTTACGTAAATTGCATTTATATTATTTATAGATCGACATGTATGACAGATTACAAAGGATTTTACATATCAAAATGATCTACTGATTAATATGATCTAATATTTCTAGGGGGTTTTTACCTCGTAATCTCACTAAGGCAGCGGTTTTTACCATTCAATACTACATTTTGCTAGGTCTTTTTAGTGTAAGTTGAATTTTACTTGAATATTTATCGTTCTATAAGTTAAATCCTTCGCGAAAATTTTCAATAACTAGAAATTAATTGTAAATAACAAAATAGTCCTGAAATAATACTTTACGGAGAAAGGACGCGGGCGGCGGACCAGAAACTAAAGATTAACTTGTAGTGGCCTAACTATATTAGAAATGAAAACAGTAAACAGATATAATATGCGTCGTAACTTCGGTGCCGTTAATTGTCTATAAAAAAAAAAGATTCCTTACCGCCTGTAAAATCCAGAAGTACTTTAGTATTATAATCCTCTTCATTATTAAACTCGTAGACAGCATAAACCACAACTCGGGACCATAAACATGCCACTCTTCAAACAAATTCTAGAGCGATGTGTAAGCGTAACATGCAGCAATTTTGCTACAAATTAATCATAAGACACTCATCTTTCATAAGAAGCACAAATAAGCATGATCGCGGTACGAAAACGGCTCATATTTACAAAATATTTGCTTCGACATCACATTTCTCCATATAACGCCATATTAATTATCGCTCCTTTGGGTATCCGGAAGTAAATTTGCACGCTTGCGAGTTGGCTTCACTTTTGATAGGTATAGAAGCTATATCCAGTGTATTATTAGATCAGTGGATAGGCCCCGTTTATCATTGTATGGGCAAGAACGAAATATTTTGCAATTTTTGGCGAAGATTAATCGAGACACGTTTTGAGTTGAGTCACTCAAAAGTCGAGTCACAAGTCTATAGCTGAGTCATTTCACTATATTTGATCGAGTGGAGTCAATGGCTCCTGTTTAGTTTGGTCAATAGCTAAACTTGAGTTGAGTCAGGGAATTAATCCTGTTTCTGGCTGTTTGGCATAAACGACTATTTAACATAACAAAACTTAAAGACGTCCTTTCGGGGAAATCACGTGACCTTCTCACCTAATATCAACAGATATGCCTAATTTAAACTTCCTGTCGCATTCTATTGAAAGTAAACACAGCTCTTATAGCATCTCAATTCTGTCAAGATGTGTACGACACAATTTTGCCAAAAGATGAAGTTCAAAGTATTTATCGCAAGTTTTTGTCTTGTTGTGATGGCGAAATCAGAAAGTGCGTTTCAGTTCAGACAAGAAAGAAGTCTCGCCTCCGAGAAGAATTTCACGCGCGGTAAGCTATAATTTGTGTATCCAAATTTGACAATTAATTAAAGGCTCACAAACATATAATACCATACTTAGTTACATATATATTCCGTATACGTTATTTGGCATACTTGAATAGTTCTATACGTATTATTAAAAAGCTAACATAGAAGTCAATTTGCAACATTATATATAAAGTTTCCCAAAACTAGCCGAGTGGCTATAGGTTTCAATGAGTTAATTAAAACTTTCACGATTGTGTCAAGAAGAAAAACAGTCAAAGCTATACAAGAGCTAGCTTGATTATAAATATATAACAAGTTCTTCATAACCGGAAACTAAACATATAATAAATGTTTTTAGCAGATTTTAGGCCAATTTCACAAAAAGGAAATCTAACTAATTATGCCCAAGTAAGCGAAAATTACCAGAAAGACAATAACTTGCAGGGGTGTATTTATAGCTATACAACGTTGATTACAATATTATTGAATGATGTTAATTCAAAATAGGGATTAACCATTCTGGGCATGTTTATACACATCACTCGGCTACTTCCGGCATGTTTCTTGGAAGATCACAGCAGCCCAACATGATCAATATATTGAAAGGATTAGTGACACACCATGGTATTGTGGGCTTTTGTTATTGTTTTACCTTACCCAGAATACGCGACAAGTTCTTAATAACAAAGCAAACATTTAATATGTCTAAGTAAGCAAAAATTGATGTTGATTTTGTTGGAAGACAATAAATTGCGCGGGGTGTATTTAGCTACAATATAAGCTGTACAGTATAATGAAATACCAGGAAGAATGTAAATTGCGGGGGTGTATTTAGCTACAATACAATTGACTGTATAGTATAATGAATAATACAGACGTTATTTGTAAAGACGGATTAGCTTTTCTGGGAATGTTTATATATCAGTTAACATTTTTAAGCGTATTAACATACTTGACTACTTCCTGCAAGTTTCTGGAAAGAGATTTATATTTTAGAAAAGATTTAATTTAATATTGTGATATAAAAATGTTGGTTGTTGTACTGTAATCACCTTGTATAGACCAAAGGACAGCGGTTTGTTCAATGGCATGCGCATAAAAATGTCCAGATATTACTATTTTTTCTTTTACTTTCGATCTTGCGCAACTTTCGAAATCATTGCCAACTTGAATTATTAAGAGAGCTGTATATTGATTGGCTATACTTGTGACGAAATCAGTCTAATGTAACCAATGAAATTAACAGGTAATACAAAAATTGGAGTATTTGGGTAGGAATATGGATACAAGTTTGGCAAACTATACAAAAAAATCAAATTTTAAGTAATATAGATACATCATCATAATTATCAGTGAAACAAAAATTGTTTGTATTGTCTAGCTCTGCTGTTGAATAATACTAGACGCCCTAGTCCGAACCAAGGGCTACAAGACGATTTGTCTGGAGTTAAGTTACAAATTGTTAAATAAAAAAACCTGACTTTTATTTCATCTACAATTTAATGCCCAAAGTATTCACCAGTATTAAAATTAAATATATCAACAGTAACTTCTATGCGAAATCATTCTGAAGATCTCTGAGAATGCCGCCATGCATGTGTCTACCATAGACCTAAAAATCTCCACTATTCCTCCGAAAAGTAACAAAAAATATATTAAATATGAAAGCATACAAACAGTGTGGCCTGGTGAACCCAATATTTTTCAGAATACACGACATGTTCTTCATAACCGCAAACTATAATAGATGCTTTTACCAGATTTTAGACCAATTTCACAAAAAGGAAATCTAACTAATTGTGCCTAAGTAAGCGAAAATTACCAGAAAGAAAATAAATTGCAGGGGTGTATTTATACCTATACAACGATGATTACAATATAATTATTACTGAATGATGTTAATTCAAAATAGGGATTAACCTTTCTGGGCATGTTTATACACATCACTCGACTACTTCCGGCATGTTTCTGGGACAAACACAGCAGCCCAGCCAATCTATATGATCAATATGTTGAAAGGACTAGTGTCACACCATGGTATTGTGTGCTTTTGTTATTGTTTTACCTTACCCAGAATACGAGACAAGTTCTTAATAACAAAGCAAACATTTAATATGCCTAAGTAAGCAAATATTGATGTTGATGCTGATTTTGTTGGAAGAAAATAAATTGCGCGGGGTGTATCAGTTTAGCTACAACATAAACTGTATAGTATAATGAATTACCAGGAAGAGAGTAAATTGCGGGGGTGTATTTAGCTACAATATTGACTGCATAGTATAATAATAATACAGACGTTATTTGTAAAGACGGATTAGCTTTTTTGGGAATGTTTATCAGTTAACATTCCTACAAGTTTCTAGGAAGAAATTTATATTTTAGAAAAGATTGAAATTTGTTTCTTTTGCTTTCATAGATTTATTTTTAATTTAATACTGTGATCTAAAAATGTTGGTCGTTGTACTGTAATCACCTTGTATAGACCAAGGGACAGCGGTTTGTTTAATAGCATGCGCATAAAAATGTCCATATATTACTATTTTTTCTTTTACTTTTGGTCTTGCTCAACTTTCGAAATCATTGCCAGCTTGAATTATTAAGAGAGCTGTATATTGATTGGCTATGCTTGTGATAAAATCAGTTTAATGTAACCAGTGAAATTAACAGGTAATAAAAATTGGAATATTTGGGTAGAAATATATATGGGATACAAGTTTGGCAAACTATACAAAGAAATCAAATATTAAGTAATATAGATACGTCATCATAGAACGTTATATCTCAGTTGCTTATAGAAATCGTGTATTTTAGTCAGTGACGTAACGGAGAAAGAGGGCCCCTTAGGCATATTTGGTGTGGGGGGCTCCTGTTGACTGTTGTCATTGTTTGAATGATATATTATATTTATATTGAATATTAAAAGAATGTTCAGGAAAATTCCGTGTCTAAAACAATAACAATTACAGTCTCCAACACATGTAACAACTTTTAAGAATAACTTTTGTTTTATTTGAGATGGAGAAAAGAAATCAGCTACCGTTGTGGATGGAGGCTTTATTATTTAGCATTATTAATTTTGCATTTTCCCATTGATTCTTAATTTGACCTGCGTTTTTACGTTTTCTATTTTTTTGGTCGATGGGAGCCTCTGATTGTCGGGGCCCTTACTTTTTGAACTAACCCTATGCAATGATCGTTACGCCGCTGACTTTAGTAGGATTTGGCCCTGAAATTACTGGTAGATTGGTGATATTTACTATATATGCGTTTTAAATTTTCAGCTTTTTCTTTCTCGCGTTCTTTCTCAAATTCAACCTTTTGCTCGAGTAATTCTCACTCAAATTCAAGGGTTTTCTTGTAGTCTTGTTTGACCTTCTCGTGTTGTACTCGGCGATCAATTTCTTTAATTTGTTGAGTCAATCTTCGTATATTTTCGTCTGCTATAGCAAGTCCCTTCCTAGGATAAATATTAATGCCCAGCATAAAACACGTAAAAGAGCCATAACAAAAATATAATTTAAAATATTTATTTGAAAGCTAACGTTTCGTCTTTAACTTAAGACATCTTCAGAGCAATGACATACAAAGCGGAAAACACAGAAATATGAATAAATTACAACCATTTACAAGATATTATATTACAAAAGTAGAAAGAGGAATGGATCAGCTCGGTCCCTTTACTTCTACTTCTACTCTGATCCATTCCTCTTTCTATTTTGTAATATAATATCTTGTAAATAGTTGTAATTTATTCATATTTCTGTGTTTTCCGCTTTGTATGTCATTGCTCTGAAGATGTCTTAAGTTAAAGACGAAACGTTAGCTTTCAAATAAATATTTTAAATTATATTTTTGTTATGGCTCTTTTACTTGTTTTATGCTGGGCATTAACATTTATCCTAAGTTCCTTTCCGTATTCTTTAGCCCATTTTGCGACGTCTTCTTCGCTCTTGTCCTTGGAAAATTTCTTTTCTTCCATGATCTCTTTTGATATCGGCGCATACAGAATCCTTCATATCCATCATCAATGATGTCCCTAGTTGTGTGTTGAAGTAATATTTCAAATCCGACTATGAGGACTGGACTAGATTTCAAGTCCGCGCAATTTGATCACGTCCGAGGCAAAGCTGGGGACTGGATCAAAATGCGAGAACTTGAAATCTAATCTAGTCCGAATTGGAGGATTTGAAATGATATCTCGTACGAATAAATCACTACTGAAAGTGAGGTGAATTAATTTTGACCGACTCCAAGGAGTGAATTAATTTTGATCCAGCCCAACGACTGGATTAATATACTTCACCAGGTATCCAGTATTATTATACGGACAAAATAAAGCAATATGGTTGGTTAATTTACCATATTATGCAGACAATTGTTGGCTAACCCTGCAACACGTATTACGTAATAGTTGACACTACATCTGCTTCCGTTTGATGAATCTTTGCAATCTGTGACTTCTTCCAACCTTCGTAACTTTTAAACCATGGCCAACTGCATGAGCGAACTGACAAACACCAGAAAGGTGGCTCCATTTTATATGTTCGCTGTTCGCATATTGGAAGCAATTTACTTTCTCGCTCAATTGAAAAGAACACAAGTGGAATGTACTAATCTTACCAAGTTCTACGTAACCTGTATTAGACCTGTATTGCTGACAGTATTGGAGTACTGCTGTGCAGTTTTGCATGACAGCCTCCCGGAATATTTGCATTTACCCCTTGAAGGAATCCAAAAAAAATATGCTTACCATTATTAGTCATCCAACTAAATTAAGTAGCGTTAAAGAAAACCGGACTACCAACATTAAGAGATCGTCGGAACATATAGCTATAAAAATGTCTGATGCCATTCATTGAAATAATAAACATCAACTTAATTCTTTACTGCCAAATACAAAAAAGCCATGTCACAATTTACGAAGAAGGAATCCTTTTATTTTATCAAAGTGCATGTAAAACAAATCGTTACAACCAATATATATACAGGGTGTATCAAAATAAACGCAATTCATCTTTTGTGCTTAATAACTTTCGAAATACTATTTCTAGTTAAACGCTTTTAGGCCTACTTCAAAGCCTGTTCTTTTCTCTTTCAAACAAACTATTATCCTTGTCTCCAATGCTAGTAATAATTGCACAGGAAAAGATTTAGTAAAACCTATCATTTTTAGTTGCTGTTTAATTATGCAAGTTTAGTATGTTATTGTTTAGTCGGTTTAAATGTTAGAATTTTCTTCTTTAAACTTTAATGTTGTCGTCACTACATCTGGAAAACCAGGTAAGAACAAATTAAAAGTATTCTAAAAGAGACCAGGTTGTTTGAAAATCCTAAACGAATGCTAAAAATCGTCAAAACATTCTGGTGTCTGAGCCAGAGTGTCATCAAATTGCGATGTAATGTAAACAGAAATGATAGCAAGTTGATGTCAGTCAGCTTAGATGGTCCAAGCCAAAATTATATCGCATTTGAAGTTTCAAACTGAGTTTAAAATAGTGGAAGAAAAGCCTTAATTATACTTATTGTTACAATCCATTTAATAAAATGCAACATTTTTTTGTTTTAATGAAAAAATCAGTTATTTTCATGAGAAAGATTTGTTATTCCATCTCAATTTTTTGAATCTCCAATCGCAATAACGTAAAGTATTATTACCCGCGAACCAATGAGTCAAATTTAAGAAACAACCCACTGTTAGAAAGCTGAATGGCTACGCTTTAAAATGAATGCAAACTTTAACGTTTTCGTCCATTATTTGTTTAGCAATTTACATTTCAGTCGAGAATTGCGCTTTTTTTATACACCCTGTATATATATATAACTACAGACGGTACCGTTTCGGCCTTTTGGGCCTCATCAGTGTAGTGCTGATGAGCAGGATGAAGGTGACTAGTATTAATAGTTACCTTTGATGCCTCACGAATGTGGGACATCAAACCATTGCCAGAGTGCTCAAACAGCAAGCAGTGAGCATGCGCACAATGCATAAGCAGCAATGGCTCATCCTGTAGAGTGCTCAATATGGCCTAAAGGCCATAGAGCAATATCTAACTACAGACGGTACCGTTTCGGCCTTTTGGGCCTCATCAGTGTAGTGCTGATGAGCAGGATGAAGGTAACTAGTATTAATAGTTACCTTTGATGCCTCACGAATGTGGGACATCAAACCATTGCCAGAGTGCTCAAACTGCAATATATATATATATATATATATATATATATATATATATATATATATATATATATATATATATATATATATATATATATATATATATATAATATATAAATTTCTAAATAATAGAACTTAAGGCTTAAAGTTAAAGAATTTGTTTTAATCCTGACCTTAAATTAACTTTTAAATTATACAACATTTACATGTATGTTAGATTTCTGCTACCTCGTGCAACACTAACACACTGTACATATACCCCTAAAATAAATCAATATGATTTATTGAACCCAATAAATTGCTCAGATATTGATATATTTCTCTTATACCAGTGGGGTGCTGTTCCGTTAAATTTATTTTATTCTCATTTTCGATTTACAGGTGTCAATTCCACGGTAAGTCTGGAATAATATTTTCAAGGATTGAATAAATGCATGATAATTTTAATACTTTCTTTCTTTATAAATCTAATATCAAATCATCATCATCATCACTATAATTATCATCATTATTAATTTACTAAAGTAGGTTTACCAACTAAATAATTGTGCGCGAGAAGAAGAAAGAAAACGTTGAATATACAGCTGGGTAATTTGGGCTGGAATATACAGACATTCAGCATCACATCTCTCATATTATTTTTTGCCAGGCTCTTATTTCCGTTTCCATTAAACTGCGTTTTACTGACTTCACAAACGAGAATGTGATACCAGCAGTGAACATTACTGCCTCGAATGGAACCACAGCCTTCCAGTTCCTCCAACAGGCAGCTCAACAAAATCCATGTTATCTTTCTCAATATAAAACATATCCAAATCTTGGTCATTACATCACAACCATATGCTGTGTAGCAGAAAACACGACGTCTAACTTCTACTGGTTCGTCTACATTAATAACGCACTCTCGCCAGTTGGAGTGGACGGTCTGATACCAAACAATGGAGATATCCTTAGGTTCGAGTACCGGTTTATAAACTCTACTGATGGTACGTATAAATCAAATATCGGTACAATTTTTGGATGGCGACGATTTCAAAGTGCTATTATTGTATGACAATAGCGTGATTTTACCTAATAAATGCCATGCATATTACGCGAGGAATTGAAAACTTGATCGCACTATGGTACCTGGATTTGTTTCGTAGGGGGATTGTGCATGGTGAAAGGCCCCGTGAAATTAGCCTTTAAACCAAATAGATTGCAAGAATTGCATTGGAGGTTTGCAAACAATCCACACAGATTTATAGGACAAAGATACGGCGGCCATGTTGAATGAAATTATAATTATATTTTAATTACATTTGATGATAATTACATTTTTTGTTCGCGTTCTTCCAACATGGCCGCCATGACCTCAACTAAGCCAAGAATTGCGCGTGCATGAAAATTAATATTTCACACATCTGCTGCATGGGAATATAGTTTCCCGGTATGCAGAGTAAATCATACTGCATGCGACCACTAGACTGCTTTATTGATGTTTGTAGAGTTCTCGTCATCATTTGGAAAATATTTTGTGGTTGAAATTCGGTGAACAAAATTTGTCGCGCTGCAAGTTGGAAAAGTCCGTATTGCATGGTAACCAATGGGGAAACCAATATGGTCATAAGAATAACATTTATTTTTTCTATATTCATGTTTTATTCTTGTAGGAAAACAAGATTCAATGCAAATGGTAAGTTATCGTGCGAGGTAGGCTCTCCTGTCCACAACGGGAACGCGAATCCAAAGTGGACCTCCAACATTCCTGTTGTGAAAGTGAAACGAATTTGAAAGATACAGATAAGGATTAAGGATAGTAAAAACCAGACAAGTAAGACATGGATAAGAAAACACAGTCGGTATTATATTCTACCACTCGTTGAACTCCACTGCAAATATAGGCCTATTGTATTGATGTGTTCATCGAACACATAATGTCTCTCGGATGTCCTGTTGAAAAGCAAGGAATTTTTATGTATTCTACTGCCGTATAGGTTTTCAAGCTAGTTTAGTTCACTATTTTATTCAGATTTTAACTTTTTCAGATTTCCGTCTCAGTCAAACTTACGTTCACTAATTATCCCAACCCAGACGTCCTACCTGCAGAACAAGTGATTGCCGCAAATGGAACAACAGCTTTTGAATTTCTTCAACTTGCCTCACAACTCAACCCTTGCTATCTTTTCAACTACACACAGTTCAGTTTTGGCCGTTACATTACAACGATATGTTGTATCGAACAAAATAAAGCAACACAATTCTATTGGTTTATTTATTTAAATGGTATACCCTCTCCAGTTGGAGCTGACTTGCTCAAGCCGAAGAATGGAGATACCCTGACCTTTGAGTATCAGATGTCGACAAATACTGATCATTCAACCTCAGCCCCAACACCCCGCAGTGCCACACCCCGCCGTGCCACACCCCGCAGTGGCACACCCATTATAAACCCAAAACCAACTGGAAAAGGTCAGCAGATGCCTGCTGCAAGTTTGAACGTATTCATTTCGATGGCAATAGGAATCCTAGTTTGGAAATACTAGGACCTTCGATTATCTTTGGCATTTTATTCTCTCTTTTTAGTTAATACTTTTTAGTCACTTCAATGGTATATTGTTAATGTTTACTTTAATTTTGTCGTATTATTAATGAATTAGAATAAACTTTATGCGCATGTTTTAGACATTGGCCTTTAGGAATTAGTGGTAGCTAAAGTGTAAAAACAATTATTTTCCCTTGATGGCTGTTAAGTATGTATTAATTAATCATGTCACATGGCTTTTAGCCGTATAATTAATATGTAAATGATTATATAAGTCTGTTTGTCTCAAAATCTTCACTATATTCTGTTTCGTCCTAACTGACAATTTTCCAATTAGTGGAGTGCGCAATCTGGGTCGCTTTCCCGAAACGAATTTCACCTGTGTTTACATGAGATTATTAAAAAAATTAAAAAAGGTCATCAAGTTTAGATTAGTGCCAGATAAAGACAAGATTTTGTTAGGGTAATTGATAATTTCGGACATGTTTAACAATTTACTCACATAGTTAATTCAAAGGTGGAGTTCATGCAGCCAAATTCGGAACTGATTATGCAAATGATAGTGATTTTAAATTTTGGGGTTACAAAAACCAACACCGCGGGAAAACGTCTGCGCATGCGCGTGCACTAAAAAAGGCGAGAAATTTAAATGCCAAATTGTAAACAAAAACATGGGTATTTAATTATTTAAGGTAATTGAAACAAACAAAAATACACTAGACGGGTAGTTTAGACATTTAAAAAGTAAAAAGAAACAGAATTTAAATTAAAAATTATCGTTTAAGACCGGGAGGCGTGTAAACATTTCTTGAAAAATTGTCGAATACGTACCGAACTTAAGACACAAAAGTTAAGAAAAACATTCGCACGCGATTAAATTGTGAAGTAAATCATTACCTTTAAATATAGTCAACGCAAAAATTATCCATGCTACGAAAAAAAAGTTATTGACAAATAGTGGATCATATGAACCTACCAAAATAGCTTTGTATGGTTCAGTTAAAGAACGTTTTATTCAATAAATTTATTTCTATTTTGTAGGTTGTCACGTTCATTATTCCGCTTGCATTTTCACAGAAAAGGCAAAACATCGAAGTCGCTCCTTGTCGCTTCCATTTTGAGTTTTGACTTGATATCACGTTCGCATGGCAGAATTCAGTAATGTTGACGCATGCGCAGACGTTTTTCCGCGGTGTTACAAAACCACATTGACCAATGAATGATTGTGGCTATCTAAAGCCTGTTTTCCACTAGGCGGAATTTTGCGCGCGGAGCGGAATTTTTCTTTGTCTTGTGATTTCTCGGGTGGAACTAATTAGAAAAGACAAAGAAAAATTCCGCTCCGCGCGCAAAATTCCGCCTAGTGGAAAACAGGCTTAACAAGTACATAAATCATGCAGTCTAAATAATTCATTATGAAATCTCAAAGCTTTTAATAAAATGGCATCGCCCACACCACGTATGCTCACAAACAACAAGGAATTTCAAGCGCTGTGCTTCATTCGCTTGTCATACAATCTGTACAAGTTATAATTTTAAAAATTAATTTTTATTTAAACTACAATGGTTTCGACACTTGTTGAAGTAAAATACGAATTTTAAATCGAAAACAGCGATGGAAACGGTAAAGAAAGATGGTTTGATTCGTCATGGAAAAGGATGTAGTACTCAAGACTTTTTTCAACGCATCAATGAAATGTGCAGCTTCTTTTCTTCAACTATAAATATGTGGACCGTGATAAGGACTGGGTAGATTTTCTCAGACATGATATAAGTGTGAAAGCCGTTGCACCCGGAGAAAATTTTTGTTGACTACTGTTAAAAGTGTGGAACAATTTCTATTTTGGGCGGAGGCTAATTGCCATAAATATTCCACAATATGTTGGCCGAAATGTTAGTGCTGGGGGGGAGGGGAATTTTGCAGAGCTAGCATATTTTCTCTTTATGTTTTCAATACACCAAGCTACCGCTTCTTTTTAATATTTTCCTAATTTTTGCTGTAAATTTGCCCATTTTTTAAGGAGAATTTTCAAAATATTTACTCCCATCCTTTTTCCTGTTTCTGAAAAGTAGAGGCGACTTCAACTCCTCGTGATTAGGTAAGAGGAAATTTTTAGGTGTGGGGTAAATTTGTGAACAATTGAGAAATAGTATCTGAGTTATAGAAAATACCACCTGGAGAGCGTAAAATTATACCGAAAATGACGTCGTTGTGGTTGCTATGGCAAATATGGCGTTTCAATATTGCCGTCTTTTTCTTTTTAACTTCTTTAACTTGAAAAAAACATTTTCAATTAGTGGAAATAATTAGAAATACATGCATTTAGCAACCTCTCGCCTATATTTTCCAAACATTGATTTAACATGTAATATTAGCAATTGGCCAACAATGAACGCAGGCCCGCGTTGTGTGATACATTACGAACATGATTATTTAAAAAAATGTTTGTACTTTTAACTATACAAAAATCAATTTTCGAAATATATACAGTATGTTATTTTCCATTTGGTGAGCTTTGATTTAATGTAAAATTTAATCTGAATGGAAAACGCTAAGAAGCACTTCTTACAAAGGCATGGACAAAATTTGGCTGAAATTTGTACAAATTTAGCTCCAAAAAGACAAATTTAAGATTGAAAATGTTAAGAAACACATCTTTGTACAAGGGTATGGACAAAATTTGTCCAAATTTCAGTCAAATTTTGTCCAATCTTCTGTAAAAAGTGCTTCTTAGCGTTTTCTATTTAAAATTTGTTGTTTGGGTGCTAATTTTTTGCTAATATATTTGCGTGATATATTCTGAATGCGTAATGAGCTAACTTGTTGGCCGACAGATCGGAATTTTAATTAAACTATCTATTGTTTGAAACAAAAAATGTAAACAAAACATGCGCATGAGCAGAACGGACTTGGCAGCCTTTTTAATTGTTAAGTCTATTGTCTGCGTTTGCCAATAAACTGTTTTTACTTAAAGGATTAGTGTCAATAACAGGAATTCGCGAGCTCAAACTCCTGCTGGCGGCCATTTTTCAGGACGAATAGATTAGATGATCTGGAAAATTTTTGCAACCGTCATATATTTAAACCATGCTTTTATAATCCTTGCTCTTTTCGTCTGATTTTTATCAGAAATGTACCAAACAAGGTATTTTTATCGCTATTTGTTGTATTTGAGTGAAATGTAAGCAATAACAAAAGCCCGCAATGCATGACCCTGACACTAATCCTTTAAGGTGGCTCCCTACATTTGATCTGTGTCTGCTATCGTTTGGGCCACATTGTTACCATAGGAACACACAATTTGTTTCTCTCGAACGATTATGCTTGAAGTATAAAGATTACACAAGCGTTTATACTTAAAAAATCCCCATTTCACATAAATAGCAAATAATTTGCGTCATTGCAAAGTTTTGATTTTTCGCTGTTGTTTCTTTACAACTCTAGGGAGCCACCTTAATACAACAAAATAAGTTCAAATTGTTGAGTAATTTCAGTTCGGTCTTCAGATTAGTTTGCTCTCCTTTACATTTTACCTTTTTTCTTAAAGGGTATGAGCAACAAAACATTTTATTGCTTCATCTGAAAAAGCATGTAAAAATAAGCCGATTGGCCGTTTAATGCTCTGTTCTATCTCATCTGGTTCCGAAGTTATACGCAAAAATGTGCAAAATATAAATTGCTGATTCAGCACAACGTGTGACGTCATTAGTTGGGTAAGCATGTTTATTGAATAGTAAACTGAAACATAGCTCAGTTATTATTTGCTCAAATCAAATGAAATTTTGCATACAGATAGTACATGATGAGACGCATGAGAAAACACTTCTAATTTTGTTGTCAAGGTAACACAGTCGTTCGCAGGCCCATTACACTGATTTTGAATAACTAGTTGCATTTATCTATGTGTATGTCATTTTCGAATTATTATCATGCAAGTAAACTTTTGGCATGCATAGGTATGGTACACATACTTCTGATATTATTTTATTCTTATAAGTACCATGAATAAAGCTGTTTTATAAAATTGGCTCAAGGGGCCTGGGAACGACATTGTTACCTTGGCAACAAAATCAGAAGTGTTTTTCAATGCGTCTCATCATGTACAATCAGTATGCAAAATTTCATTTGATTTAGTATAGGTAATCATGCGATGTTGCTCGTACAATTAGGGATTAATAGTACGAGTGATGTTTGGAAATTTTGCCAAAATTGGACGAGCCGCCGGGGTGAGTCCAATTTGGCAAATTTCCAAACATCACGAGTACTATTACTTGTTTATTATTAGCATGACAAAATTGGATACGTACTTCTCAATGTCAGCATCATATTCTCTCGCCAAAGCCCAGTCCTGCCAGACTTTCAACCAAAATTTGGTGCTTTTGTTTGTATTTTCATTTATTTCTTTTGTTAAAGCAAAATTTGGTGCTTGTGTTCGTATTTTCATCTAGTTCCTCCACGGCAATTTCATTTCACGCTTGAGTTTAAAATACGTTTCCGCCATTTTGTTTGTTTTGGGAAAATCATTAATTGTACTGCAGTACAATTAATGAAATAATTGTACTCCTATCAACCAATCAGCATCCAGTAATTTTGTCATGCTAATAATAAGGCCCATAATAACTGAGCTATGCTTCAGTTTAGTGTTCATTAAACATACTTACCGAACTAATGACGTCACACGTTTTGCTGAATCAGCAACTTATATTTTGCACATTTTTGCGTATAACTTCGGAACTAGATGAGATAGGATAGACAATTAAACGGCCAATCGGCTTATACTTTCATGCTCTTTCAGATGCAGCAATAAAAATTTTTGTTGCTCATACCCTTTGAATAAACAGGGTAATTTATGAAACGTACAGCTTCATTGAAAAGGAAAGCAGTGCAAGTTTTTAAATAAGCAAAAAATTGAAGAACAAAATTCGTAAACATCAAATATTCAAAGAAAACTTGCCCAATATTTCATAATTTCCCATAGTAAATATATTCTTCTCATTTCTTCAAACAAAAATTGCTTCAAAACTCGTTGTATGAAACAATTTTCTCTGAGCCATCGGCGCGGAGCGCCCTTTCGGGCGTAAGTCGTGGGGTGGATATTAATTCCGTCCGGCTACTTACACCCAGGGAAAGGAAAGCATTATTGAAGTCTAAAGTGGTGTCGTTGGTTGTTTACCATTTACATGGACAACTCATCCGGTTTGAAATTGTGCTAATGGTAAGCAAAATGTCGGATAGAAAATTATTATTATTATTATTATTATAAATTTCCAAACTAGCAGTAACAACTGAATTACTTTGGAATTACAGGGTATAAGAACATAGGTATTTAATCTATTCTATATTTACAGGTAAAAATAGGTAAGTTAGGTAAAAATAACGATAATAATCTAAAGTTTACTTATTATTATAAGCATGAGACGCAGCAGGAATGAAACTGTTCGAAAAACGTTCAGTTCTACACCTAGGTACTAATAAGTTGGGATAAGACCTCAGATTATAAGTTTGAAGACTTTTAGGCGGTCCTAAGGCATTCAGTTTATGAGTGGGTTCCAACATCTTCGAAAAAAGTCGCTTGCAATGGACAGTTCTACGTTCGTAAAGAGTCATCAAGTTAGCTTTAAGCAAACATTCAGCATAGATAGTTCCAGGGAAAATAATTTTTAATGCCCTTTTTTGTATTTTTTCAACTTGATCACTCAGGTAATGAGGAAGGCCATAATGCCATACCTGACAAGCATATTCGACAATTGGTCGAATATGTGTACAATAGGTTGAGATCAGAATATGAGAAGGTAAAGCATTTCTTTTAAGAAGGCGCAGACCGTACAAACGCTTCGAGGCTTTCTTGCAAATGTAGTCAATATGGCAGTTCCATTTGAGGTCGTCCGAAAAGACAACGCCCAATAGTTTGGCCTCGGAAACGACGTCGACCTCTTGACCGCGAATGGTAATAGGGGCAAACGATGGAGTAAGCTTATAAAAGCAGACACGCAATTCTTTGGTCTTTGATACGTTTAACTTCATATTATTGTCTGATGACCATTCAGAGCAGCTGATGATGTTAGCGGGTAAAATCCCTTTCGGATTATGCGCTTTCCATTTAGAGTCAGTGACCGGAAGGCACTGAAGGGTTGTTTACCATTAACATGGAAAACCCATCCGGTTTGAATTAAATCACGAAGAGCTTGGAACTGGCGAAAAAAATAAAAAAGATGTAATTGGAACAAAATTCACCGGTTGAAACGTTCCAATCGGTAGGAGAGGACAACCTTTTCAAACAAACCGTTCATTCCGGAAAAGTTCCGGTTGGGCCGTCGAAATATGCTTTTCCATTTACTTTCCGTATGGAATCACCAGAATTTCCATGTAAATGGTAAACAACCAAGGTACATGATGTTTGGGTGGGTCTCCTCACTGATCTCAAAAATATGGCTGCTTGCCAGAAGTGAGATAAGCAAGATTTCAATTTTCAAAGCAATATATTTTGAAAATTGTTTTACATACAATGAGCTTTGAAGCAATTTTTGGGAAATTGTAAAATGTAGGGCAAGTTGTTTTGAATGTTTAATGTTTGTGAATTTTGTTACTTTAACTTTGTACATGCCTAAAGCATGAACTGTTTTCCTTTCCAAAGAAGCCGTGTAAGTTTCCTTAATTGCCCTGTTTAATTTAAGAAAAAAAATTAAAACGTAAGGAGAGCAATTTAATATGAAGACGGAACTGAAATTATCCAACAGTCAAAACATTTTATGAAGCGATTCAGGTTAAATTTTACATTACTGTAAATCAAAGCTCACGAAATGACATACCTACAGTACATATTTCGGACATTCATTATTGTGTAGTTAAAAACTAATCTTTGAACTATTTTGCCGTTTGTGCAAAAAAATTAAAAATTTAAAGTAGTGCAGTCATGGCAACGCTTGAGGCACAGCACGAGCCTGCGTTCACTGTCGCCCATTTCCGAATACTTCATCGTCTAATCAATGTTTGGAAAAAATAGGCGTGGGGTTGATGAATGTATTTCCAGTCCAAATATATGTTTTTGAAAATCGAAATCTTGCTTATTCCACTCCTGCCAAACAGTCATGATGTTTTTGAGATCACCAACTATTGCACCACTTTAAACTTCGCTAGTGCTTTCCTTTCCCCGGATGTAAATAGCCAGGCAAAATTAGTACCCTTGCTCCGGGCTTACGCCTGGATCGCGCTCCGCGCCATTGGCTCGGGGAAAAGAAGCAATCTCGTTCCCAGAGAATGTCCGTTCGCAGGTTAAGGGTGGGCATAGCTCTGGAGAAATCGAATTGATTCACGTTGGATCTCCAATGTGAGTTCTACGCACGCTCGGCAATTGTTGCAAAATGTAAACAAAGTATTTAGAATTTCTCGTCGAAAATTTGTTACTTTTTACACTGAAATCGGGGGGGGGGGGAATTCTGGCTGAGATATATACGAAAGCTTCGGATTGATAGGGACACAACTACCTGAAAAATAGACCTAACACTACGTATACCATAATTTCTGACAGGAGAGTAAAATTTAAATTTCAAAGAAAATATATAGTATATGAAAGCAACGTCAATAACCTAATGTCAAGGAAATTTAAACCTTTAGCTTAGTTTTAAAGACATCAACCGCAGATCCACACTTCACAGCAAACATTCTCCCATTCTTGAGGAGATTATATTTGTCAGTAGGTCAAGTACGATGTATACAAGCACTAACAGTACAAGTCGAAGCGCCTTTGCTCGAAAGGTCGAAATTCTCCTCGTATTTTTCAGGTAGTTGTATCCCTATCAATCCGAAGCTTTCGTACATATTTCCCCCCTTATTAGTTGTTTTCAATCGATTTCAGTGTAAATAGGTTACTTTTCATCACCCAAATATTTGGAAATTTGCAAAAGTCGAAATTTAACAAATATCACGCGTATACATGATCTATACAAATAAGGAACGCTATCGGCTACCTTAACTTACGTCACGTGTGACGTAATTCCGTGCGTCTGTCCTTTAATAGATCATGGCTCTCGACCAATGAAAGCGACTTTGAATTCTTAACGTTATTATATAATATATTATTAACATAGTTCTTGTCGTGTAGTCAACCTACATCAGTAAACAAGCGCATTTCACAGTTATGTACAGTTTACTGTAGTGCCTTGCCCCTCGCACTTTCGCATAAAGATACAGCTCAAGTAATGTCAACTCAAATTGTATAAACAAAGGGAGTTTATGCATACGAATTACCTATAGGCATCCCCCTTTTGTGGTACCAGAATGTTTGTTCTGTGCTTCCTTTCAAAGCGTTGTGCCACTTGAGTTGTTACAAATTGGTCTGCCACCAAAATCCTGGGGCGCACAAAAATCCCTGCTCCAATGAGTTTTCCTTTCCCCATTTTTTTCAAAAATCCCTGCCCGAGGGAAAATATTTTTCAAGTACGGGCAGATCTCAATGATAAATAATGTA